TTAAGATTGCGAATTTTTTCAGAACAAATGTTTAAGAACTGTGTTGTGTTCAAATGGTTTCAGAGAATTTTCTGCTCCATTTGATTACAAGGATTTTTGCATGGCAATAACTTTATTTTGACTTTTGTTTACCAGTCGTATTCTACTTCCTATGCGTCGTATATAAAAACGAGCTGTGCGTGAAAGTCACGAACAATGTAAGTCTTTGTTACATTATTTTTATAAAAATAGTAGCAAATCATCATTTCGTAAATTCTATGGTCGATACAATGACCTTGTCAGAAAATACAATTTATCATTGGGTCAAATGCTGACTGACGTTTATCATACTGATTGTTAGTTCATTATTTATACACTGAACTGAATTGACTACAGATCATGACAAGAGTATGCGGCGGGTGTGACCAGTCAGCAATGGATGCTCACTCCTCCATGACACCTGATCCCACTTCTGATGTTTTGGAGGTCCGTGCTTGCCTGGCTCCTATTTTGTTCGAGGGCTTTTCGGAAATTATTGAGACTTTCACTTTAACTCTATAAAGAGCAGAGATAAATTCAGGAAAATTCGTCAACATTTTATAAAGAAAAAATAAAACAAGTATGCATTTTTTTTAATTTATAGGATAATTAGATAAGTTCCGGTGAAATTATAAACATGCATATCTCTATCGACCTGAAGCAGCTTCGCTACGTCATTTTGACGTCATGACAGCCAGGGATGTTTTCAGATGTGAAACGATCGGGGAGCGTTTACTACATGTTTTCTTCGTTATCATGTAGAACATTACAAAACTCAAACTTCTTCTTTTCTTAAACGATTCTTTAAGAAATGTTTTCTGTTGCTTTATCCGTGTAAACTTTTCATTTGTCATATGTACAGGATGGATTTGCATCATGCAGTGCCGACGTATGCAACTCGGTTCAACGTCATTGATTCCGTTATGTCAAAATTGATATTTGTCCTGAGCTTTTGATTTTAATGTGGTTGAATTATTGATCAACAAAAATATAAACTAATAAAACCCTTTATCATGTTTTGCAGTCTCGTTACTATTGTTTTAGCAGGTTTGTCAGCCTGGAAAAGAGTTTTACTACACAAAATTTTAAGTCTCTCACTGCTCCGCCTCAACGTCAAATTCCATTTTTTCGTCGCTATCGAAATTATTTACCGCGCTTATTTTTTTTAATGATCTTCGTATTTTTGATCAGAATTTTAACATATTTATATAACATGCAGCCAAAATAAGATTGAAAAATTATAAACAGAAATTGAATTGATTTCGCCCTTATTACATGTATAAGTCCAATGGGGGTTTGAACGTTGTTGTTACATATTTTAAATATTTGATTTTCTGACTGCGACAGGTCTACCTACCTTTGACACATTTATGGACCATTGAAGATAAGAAATTTAATATTTGTGAAATATTTTTTTCTTTTTATAATATCAATTTTTATTGTTTGTCAAATGTATATGCAAATTTTCATCAAAGATGTTCATCAGAAAGAAAAATGCAGACAATGTCTCCATAATTTCCGAAGATTCCTCGTATTGTTTTATGGAGTTTGATATTGAATACTCTACGTTATCTCCATATCCTTCTTGTTAATAATTTTACTTTTCTGATTTATTAAGAACTATTTCATGTTAAAAATTGGATGTCAGGTTATTTAATTCTGAAATGAAAATGCTTTGTTATCACAGAAAAACATTTCTTCTCTGTATGTAGCAAACATGTAAACGGTATAACATAACACAGAAAATGTCATAGTTTTTCACAAAAAAATATGCTCCCCATACACAAAAAATAAATTTCTTAAAATCATTAATTGAATGATATCCAAAATTATCAAGTATCTTTTTGTGCAGATAGATGAAAGACAGAAAACACATTTAAAGTGAGGAAAAACAATGAAAAAAAATTACTTGTTGTCTTTAGATATGGCTGACAAAATTAGGATTGTCTTTTTTTGTGTGTGTTCCAAAAGAAAATGTTTTGGAAAAAATATAAATAATCTTTAAATCGTATCAAACACTCAATTAATCAATATATAAGGGATCTTAAAGTTTAGGTGTAAGTTTGAACTAATCATGCATATCATGTTTACAGTGAAGCTTTAAAAAAACTTGATTAGGACAGTATTTGGTAGAATCATACGTATCAAATACATGGATAAAATAAAGTAGAACAATTAGCGGTGTGCTTCCTGCTTCAAGACTGAAAATGTCTTCCTTAATTATTTAAAGTATTCTTCAAATCTGCTTTAATTTAAATAGTTAATGCTTATAAATAATGGACACGTTACATGGCAATAGTAAAAAATAAAAAATAAAAAAAAAGATATTTAATACTGTAATGACATTCTGTTAAGGAGTTTGAGTAATTTGTACTTAAACTGGACTAGAAAAATGATACAACAATACAATTCAAAAATGAGAAAGTAATTTCTATCACTGAGTCAAGCATAACTTATTTTTGATATCACAAGCACGTAAAAGCACTTAAAAGTAATAAACATAATAAATTCATACGAGAGGAAACTTATTGAAATATTAGGAAAATAAGTAACAATGATGAAAAGTTTGATTTGTTTCATTCTACATAATTTATTCAAAATCCATCACACATGAATCATTCATATATAGAAGAGAGAGTTAGAGAAAATTTAAATAAGTGTTAAGATGCATTTCTTGTTTGTTTGTTTCTTACACAAAAGTGCCAAGACAGGAAGCAGCAAGTGATGGCAATATATACAAGTGTTCACGTGACGGCTTGCATGATTTATAAAAACTTAGAGCTAGGTCGATTACCGTGCATAATAAATATCCTTGTTTTCTAGCAATAATTTTTTAAAAACCTAATACGACGGTCATAAGTGAACAAGAACATAAGAGGATAAGAAATAAGTGAACAATGTCCTAATTTTTCCTAAAATTTATCTTTAAAATATTTTCATTTGTAAAACTGTTCATTTTATCCATATGTGAAGATCCATTCGATGAAATAGATTTCATGTTAACAATTTTAAAATCAACGTCTTGTCACCACATAGCAATAAAAAGACATTATAACATAAAAACAAAGGATTCATTTATATACAAGGTCTGTATCGAACTAATTCCCTTCTTTTCAATAATTGAATCTAGATAAACAAATACATACTAGATAGATAAATTTATGTCAAATCAGTTATTAACGAGGCTTATATTTATACAAATTTTCAGTAAAAAAATATTTTGAAAGAATTTTGTTTCTTAGCTTAGCATTATCAAAGATTTTTATCTATCTGTCTACATGTAGCTATCCTACAGATTGTGATTTTTTTTTTTGTGAAAAAAATAAAAAAGACTAAGTGGTCAAAAATTCATATATTAAGGAAAACGCTTCTAAACACTATAGACAACAGTTTTTTGAATGGATCTCGGAAATTGTTATCGAAGACTTTATATATCTAGCTAGCTAGCCCTACAGCTTGTAATTTAATTTTTATGAGGTTTATTTGTTGTTTTTTCTAAATTAGGCAGTTTTCAAATTTTCTCATACAAAAAAAAAATTTAATACCTCTCTATGAACACTTTACTTTAAAAACGGAAGTTTGCGTCATTGTGTGAGCTGTAACTTCTTGTCAATCACTGTCGACAAGGCAGGCGAGTTGTTTTATTTACTATTGCGAATTTCTTCAGACCAAATGTTTAAGAACTGTGTTGTGTACGAATGATTTCAGAGAACTTTCTACTCAATTTGATTCCAAGGATTTTTGTATGGAAATAACTTGATTTTGACTTTAGTTTACAAGTCGTTTTCCACTTCCTCATCTCCTTCCTTTGCGTAAAATATTTAATAGAGCTGTGCATAGAGGTCAAGTACAAGGTCAGACTTTGTTATATTATTTTTAAGAAATTATTGATCAGCAAATCATTATTAGTTAACGTTTCAATTTTTCTGGTTTTTAAAGAATTGTTTTATGGTATAAATTGGATGTAAGGTAATTTAATGCCAAACAAGCACATGTTGTAATATTTAACAAATATATACATGTGATATTTAAGCAATGAATCATTATTTTTTGAGTGATAGAGTTTCATAACTGCAACGGTGTGTGCAAACAAATTGAATAACGCGCGTTAGCGCGTTATGAAAATTTGTTTGCACACACCGTTGCAGTTATGAAACTATATCACTCAAAAAATAATGATTCATTACTTATATTTACATTTTTAAAACTTCCTACCTTAACTGCAAATGTGATTTCTATTTAAAAACCTATGTATTATCCTTCGTGTAAGCTACATTAAATGGATCAGCCAACGTAACAGCTTCTGGTCAATTTGAACGTAATTTTTTGATTTTCGGGTGTGACGTTGCTCTTCCTCGGCGTTCAGCGATTATGACGTCAAACTAATACGCATGTTTTAACCTCTTGGTACCCTGTCTGTGTTATGGTGTTTTAAATGCAGTAGATTTCCATTCATTTTATATATGCAAACAATATATGTAATGTAAATATAATGTTGACAACGTCCATAAATTTAAAGCAATATGTCTAAAATAATGCTCCCCAAACATGTGATACATTCATATAGTATGGCGCCTTACAAACTTATTCAAAACGTTTCTTTTCCAAGTACATGTCTTATGTTTCGGTAGCATAAAGAACAAGAGCCACGAAGGTCCAAATACGGCACCAGCCAAGATTTCAATGAAATTTTCACCACAAATAGCACAGAACATATGCTTTTCATAACTGCTTTCCTTTTTTAAATATCATTTATAGTTTTCTCATAAAAGACGTTGCACTGAGGTATTGTTTTAATGGAAAAAATGAACATAACGTCATAATTTTAACGCCATTGGCTGAAACGTAACGTTATAATTTGATATATAAAACAAGCAGGCATATCAATATTTATTGAAATCTTCTTTATAAAATTCATGCACAGTTCTACCCTGTAACTCACACCAAACCTTCTCACTGCGTAATTTTTAATAGAATACAATTTACAAATTACATGCATATATACCTTTTCCATACTGTAGGTACACAAAAATGCCACATTTAACTTTATGTCACATTCACTTCATAACACTTTATACAGTGTATGTCTGATTAGCATGCAAGTTCTAAAGGAGCAAAGATTTGCAGCAAGAATTATCTAAATTAACAGTTATGAAGATAGTAATTTATAGAATTTAAATAAAAGCATAGAATTATCGATATATTTATTTTGACTGTTGTCAACCTTTTGAAACATTTGTCAGTGCCGATAAATTGTCACACTAAATGCACACTAACCTTTTTTGTCACAGACGGTTGCTATTACATGTATAGAAAAGTTATCTAAAATGAAAATTTAATTCTTAAACATGAAGATATTATCAGAAATCAGGATGATCATATATTTAATGAGCAATTTCTCTTTTGACAGTTTTTAAAGAATATGGTTCATGCTTTATTCACTTTCCAAGAATGAGAGGAATTCCATTTTAAAGCGATAACACCTTAAATATGAACATGACAATCAACTCTGAAACTCATTCCTCAACAACACTACTATCACTGTCCGATGAATCATCTATTTCCTGTGGAATGTTAGCAGCATCCTCAACATATTCTGCCCAATTCCTTACACCCACGTCACCATGGCTGTATCTCCCATACCCCAGAAACCAGATTATGGCGGCGATGTGGGCACAAACCCCAACAACCCTTGCCCCTGTCTTGCATTTACAATACCAGGCCGTGACTTCTGTTTCATTGTATGATATCCATAGGAGATGTTTCTTTGCCGAGGTGTGTCTGCTCTGAATTTTCACCCTAATGAGATGAGGGTCTTCTTGGTGTACATAGACATCGCTATTACCATCCAAATGTTCTTGAATGTAACTTGAGGCAAGATTCAGCTGGTAAATTCCACAGGTTAACTCTCTTAATCGTTCTTCTGATAGCCTGGGAAAGTCTAAATCCAGTAATTGCACTTCTCTCCAAATAACAGTCCTTTTGTCAAGCTTCTCGTTTTCTACCCTTTCCTTCAGTAAATTCACCCCAATGCTGAGATACTTCATCTTCGCAGCAACCGCCATGTCGTCCTCTTGAGCTATAACAGAATAAATAAAACCATTTATGAATCCTTCAATTAATATATGTACATGTAATCTTTAAAACTAGAAATTTCATAAACCCGTCACTGAAATATGATAACAAATTAACTGGGATAGGCTAACAATTTTAAAGTACATGTACCTGTAGATAATGGAGGGAAATATTTATTAGAAATTGCACATATTATTCTAATGTAGTCTCCCACAAACGGCACCTGATTTGTAGGTGAAACATGGTCAAGATATCTCCATCTTTTAATTCGGGCGTTTGCGGATTCCACCACCCACCTCACCTAGAAATATTACAGAAAGCCTGTTTTAAAGTATATTAAATGACATGAATCAAACAACTTAGAATTCAGAATGCACATGGAATATGAGATTATCTATGATTGTTATATAATTCTAATCATCACACACCTTGGTCACAAGTCGACTTGAGTTTGCTTCTTCTGTGGAGAGTTGCTTGCTACCCTTTTTAGCAAAGCACGGAATTTCAGCTTTGATGCCCATCTCATCCAAAATTCCCACGGCGTCCCTAAAGCCCCTGTCTACGACGAATATATCGTTTTCGTGTACCCAGTTCTTAATATCCTGTACATTATTTTTTAGCATGTGCGTTAAAATAGCAGCATCGCTGTTTTTACTGTCTGACAAGTAGGGCCCAACAACAGTTACGTAGTATCCCGTGGTTGTAACTACTACCATAGCTTTAACTAATGGCCGCCCTTTATGAATACTATACGATCGTCTTTGAAAGTGAAAGTTTTTGCTTTTCTGTATGAAAATGTATGTTCCATCCAGAACCAGGATCATCTCAGATTCGCCAAGTGTTCCAAAGTGAGTCTGGGCAAGTGGTCTAGTGTTGCACCTGATGACGTCATCTCGAGATATATGCTGAAGATCCAAGTTCTGTGGAACGAATGAAGTTACCAATGCTTGACGGACTGAAGAAATACCTCTCCGTAAACTGGACTTTGAAATGTTAAGAATAGTGGATAACACATTGTTGGAAATTCCTGACTTCAATTTGAACAAGAAAATTCCTAGAGATGTTCTTGAACTTCTTGCAGGTGTGTTTCTGACCTTTTCTTCAATGTAGGAATGAAGGTCATCGAATGTGTTTTTACATACCCCTGTTAAGTTTAAGTAATCACTTTCTGTAAGTGTGGAAGAGCAATCGAAATTAATCCGCGACGTTTTACTCTGCAATGCTGCACTCCTCAGGCGTTTGAGTAAATCCAGAATAGTGGTCCTATTAACAGAGGTGTTCTCTTTGGTGTCGACAATGGTCAAATCGGAAACAAAATTGTCCTCATATAAGTGGTTTGGACAGCATCGACTTCCAGCTGGAATAATGATTTCATGCTTCATGAAGACATCATATCGAGCTTTTGATGAAACGACAACAAGTTTTGGCCCTCGGCGTTTGCACAGAAAGCAGGACGAATGGCTCTTAAACGTTGATGGTATGGCCAGAGTAACTGATGGTGGACTGGCTATGGCTCTAGACTTGGGGCGCTTTGGAGTAGGAAAGTAATCAGAATCATCTTTGTTGTCAGGAGTATTGTTTTGTTGCTTTTGATTTGCTTGCTCTTCCTTACCAGGAGTACATGCGTAGTATTTATGTCTACATTTATTACACAATGTGTCCTCGTTGTTGACAGTTACAAAAAAGTTTTTTTCAAGATATCTACGCTCAGACTTGGTTATTTTTCTTCTCTCATGCTGTTTTGTCCTCTTTCTACACAGTAGACAAGGAAAATTCTTTGGACCTTTTCCAGGCATTCTAGAGAGAAAAATGAAAGCTTATGAAAATCAATCAATTTTTTTCTGTTTCATTATACCCCTTGGTATGTGTAGGCTTTTTAAAATTATTATTATTAAGGTACTTTATAATTCCATGAATGTTGAAATTGAGCAGATACAAAGAACATTAGACATTCCATTGAGAAAAAGACTTCCAATGTGAGTGGTGCGATGTTCGTTGGAGTATGTGAAAAGTTTATAATGCTGAATGTTCAAAGACAGTAACGATATTTTTTTTTATCAGAACAAATGACCCTAGATAAACTTTTCTTTTATCAAAATATCTGTGAGGAAAATCCAAGTCGGAATTTTTTTTTTTTTTTGGGGGGGGGGTTGAATTTAATATTATTTCTTTAATTGCGGTTAGGTTGCAGATAGTACGCATGACGAAGAATTATTCAAAACAAAGTAAATTGATATCAAGTTGTAAAAAACACACCATATAATGGTGGTTTAATGTTTAATAGGAGATTGATTATGTGATTGTATATCCGAAATTGTTTAACAAAAATACAAAAACTTAAGACAGGATTTACTTAACAGTGTAATCCTTTAACTATATTGATATGTTTTAAGGTGTTTGTTTGTTAGTGTGTGGTTTTTTTTTTGGGGGGGGGGTGTTCTTCTATTTCCTTCAACCTTGATCCGCCCTTCTTCAAATTCTAAAATTCTATCATTATTAGTAATAATGACGTCAAGCAAACTTTCACCTCGCTGTTTTATGAATGGGTATGTTTCATAATTTATCACTGAATGAAACTCATTTGGATTTTGAAATTCTTGCTGCTTCTTCAAGTTCCCCCCCCCCCCTCCCATGGTATCCCTGTTTTGCTCGTCATTTTGTGTTTGGGATGAAGTCAAGAAAGACAACAACAATGTCTGAGGTAAACTTTGGCTATATTTTGTGTTACGTTTTTCTTAGACATATAACGTACACAGCTTTAAACATACCGATAAAGTTGTAATCATGACGATGGCAACAAATAATATTTAATACATCGTAGTTTTGTGTTGTTTTCTTTTTTTTTTTTTGTACCTACAAGTGTACTCGAATCCCATTTAATGAGAAAGCCAGCGTATGCAGATTTTCAATTGAATGAGACAGATTTTTTTTTATTTAGCGACTGATATGGAGAATAATAATAAAATTATACATTTAAATTCTGAAATACGTTGTATTAACCATCTTAATTGTTAAAAAAAAATAGGCCACGGAGACTCTGAAAATGAGCGTAAAAACTATACTATAAACAAATATATTTTGACAAGGAATGCAAAAATAAATGAGACAAAAGTGTTACTTTCCAAATAAAAAAAGATAATTAATACTTACCCCGCTGTCCATGTTCCCCATCTTAATTGATTCCGCTTATGTTAGATTCCGGGCACTTTCTGGCTGTTAGCGAGAATTTCTCGCCAAAGTCGGGCCTTTCTCAGACATCGGGAGCTCTCATTTATTGAAATAAATTCAAATCAGGCTGAATCTTGCAGTATGTTCGCCGCATTCACGCGTTTTCTAACATTTCTCTCCAAACCACCTTTCCTCGGCCGGAAGTTGAAGGTTTCGCCGGTTTTAGACAATTCGATCGTCGCTGACTTTCATAGACGTTTCGCGGGAAAATCGAAGTTTTTCGTAAACAAACCATCAGAACGAAGTAAACAAAACATCAAAATGAACGAGGAACAGAGTTTAGCCCTAAAATTAGTAAAAGAAGGGCATAATCTTATTTTAACTGGGCAGGCGGGGTCGGGTAAGACATATACAATTCACCAAGTATGTATGCAATTGGATCAAATGAATAGAAAATATGCCTAACCTGTTCGACTGGGATAGCAACATGTGCATATCAGGGAGTAAAAGCTACTACATTGCACAAATGGTGCGGAATTTTGGATGGTAGATATTCAAATGAAGAGTTACTACACCTTATGAACACAGATGAAAGATATGTCGAAATTAAAGAGAGACTATGCAAAACCATTTGTTTAATAATAGATGAAGTGTCCATGGTAAGTGCCAAAACCCTGAATCAAGTTGAATTCATTCTTCGTAAAACTAGGAATTCAGAAAAGATTTTTGGGGGCATTCAAGTAGTGTTATGTGGAGATTTTTACCAGCTACCACCTGTAGCAAATGAGCTGTATGGGGACCAAGGGAAACATTGTTTTAATGCTGTATATTTTGACAAAACTTTTCCTCATAGAGTCAACTTACACACTGTCTACAGACAGACTGAACAGGACCTAATATCTGCTGTAAATGAACTTGCACAGGGAAGTGTGTCTGATGCTACAAAAGCCATAATACTGTCCTTGAACCGGCCTTTACCTGCCCAAATTGATGTCCAGGATATTGTTTATTTATTTTGCAGAAATGTGGATGCAGATATTCATAATTACAAAGTTATTACAGACATACCTGGGGATTTAGTTACGTTTACATCTGAAGACACTGGTGATAATCATTACTTATCTAAAATGTTAGCATCAAAACATTTGGGTGTTAAGGTTGGTGTTAAAGTTATTTTACTAACCAACCTATCAGATGACCTTGTTAATGGAAAAATGGGGATAGTTCAACGCATTGAAGGTGATTTAATTTATGCGACTTTTACTATCAATGGTAAAGACAGTATTTACCCCATCAGAAAATTCACTTTTACTACTTACGACCCTGTAACTAGAAGTATACTTAGCAAACGAGTGCAATTTCCTCTAAAACCCTCTTATGGACTGACCATCCATAAATCACAAGGAATGTCATTAAAGTATGTTGTTGTAGACTGCCAAAATTGTTTCATACCTGGACAAATTGGAGTAGCTGTAGGGAGGGCAACATCAGTTGAGGGACTGAAAATCCTTAATTTCAAATCTTCACATGTCATTCAACATCACCAGAGTGTGTATGCCTACTACAAGACCTGTAATGTTGGAAATTTAATTCCCAATAAATCATGTTGTCAGGGGCATACATATAATGAAGATCAAGACAGAGATGACAGAGAAGACTTAGTAGGGGAAGATATTGGTGACGATGATGATGACGATGATGATGATGATGATCCATCTACTGTTAATACTAGAACAGAAGGTGATACTGGACAAGTGGAGTCTGATTCAGATTTTTCAGATTTTCCATATTGAAAATATTGAAGTGATTATGATAGAGCAAAGGATATTTTACAGAGAGTAGCTCAAAAGTACAAGGATACACCATTAGAAAAGTGTTCGTGCGAAACTGTGAAAAAAATATTGAACAGTCCACAAGAGTTTCTGTCATTTTATGACAGTCAGTATAAAGTATTGGATTCATTTAACATTGGAAAGGGAACTGCAAAAGAAATAAATGATTTCTACCTGTCTTTTAATCAACATGTTTCATCTCAAATTTACACATCATCTGTTGAAAAATTGGGAAAACTGTACAATACTGACCTTGATCATTTTCCACGCTTGATGACGGATGTAATGGTGGGGATTCGTGTTTCCATCCTCAGAAAGCATCAACCAGCAGAAGTTGTAAATCCTTCCGTCATGCATGTTTTAGATGAAAGTACAGAACTTTCTGGACCAGCCAGAGGTAAAGTACGTTATGTAGCTGGATATGTTATTGCCAAACTGAAATACAAAAACAGTAAAAGACTAAGTGCAAATTTATTCGCTCCTGGAAGAAATAATGAAACTGATTGTTTTATGTTGAGGAAGAATATTTTGGAACAGTTATCTGCCCCTGAAAGGGAGTTGATAGAGATTTCTACAGATAAGGATAGCTTAGAGGAAACAAGAAGAAAACAGAATGTGAGAGGATCACTCTGTAATATAACAGACAATGCATTTCATTTCTTTTCTGAGCTTGAGGTGGAAGTCAGAAAACTCTGTACTGATAAGACATTACAAACCTACAGAGGAGAAATGTACACACACATAGAAAACTCACTTTTAGGAAGACCAGAACTTCACAGAGCATTTACAGAATTGTTCCACACTGACCATCCAGGAGCTGCCATTCCTTATAATGGGACATGTAGTTGTAGAATCTGCAATGTTGTGAATGATCTTTTCCAGCATAGTGTTAAATTATTCATGAAAGTGAATATTGCCCAGTTCAGAAGAAATTTTCTTCATGCCCTACAAGTGAAGAAGAGTAAAGCACTCAGACAAAAAGTGATGACTAAAACCAAATCCAAGGATAAAACTTTTAATTTCAGTTTTCTTCTTGATGATTCTTCTGAAGATAAAAATGTTTCACACCACAGAATTAAGAGTGAAATTTTGAACATTAAAAGATTTGAACAAATTTTCACTAAAAAACAAATTATTCAAGTAGGCAAAGCATATGGACTTTCTCTAAACCAAAGTCAAAACAAAACTGTGATGCTTCAAATTTTAAATGAAAAATTGCAGGAAAGTGAAATTATGCCATACCCTAAGATACTCAGGAGTTTTTCACCATCCACCAAATCAGTCCAGGAAGGTAGTAGTGACATGGTCTTGGAAATGCCATCCACATCTACATCCACAGGAGGCGGGGCATCTACATCCACAGGAGGCGGGGCATCTACATCCACAGGAGGCGGGGCATCTACATCCACAGGAGGCGGGGCATCTACATCCACAGGTACTGCAGCAACATCATCAAAAAGAAAGACACCATCTTCATCTGACAGCAGGGCTGTAACTGGTGGAAATCCAAAGTCTGCTTATCCTAAATCTGGAAAAAGAAAAGGAAAACATTCTAAGAAATGGAAAACCAGGAAAAAAAAAAGAAACAGATGAGGAATCATGTGGTGTTTGTGGGAATTCAGAAGGACAAGCAGAGGAATGGATAGAATGTGATACATGTGTCAAATGGTACCATAGAAACTGTATAGATATAAGTGATGAATTATGGGAACAGTATACAACACAAGACCAGCCATTTACATGTCCTAAATGTGATTAGGTAAATATTAATATATATAAGGAAATGTGATCAATTTGTGTATTGAACTTTTATTGTAAAATTGTATAGATATAAAGATTTATCCATTAATTATAAGCCAAAAGTGGTGTTTTAATTTGTTTCAGATAGAAGTTCATGTTATAGTTATACCTGTGACTTCAAAGTATCAGATTTCGTATGGATCTGCCCCTGCACCCTTGCCTCCTGTATTGGACTTCCTAGAGACAGATGGTTGTCCAATGATGATAGAGTTCATTGTCCGACAGTAGGCCAGGTACGTTGGATTTGTGTTATTTCCATTATACAAGCCTCTCTGTTGAGAAAATACATTTTCTATTACATCTGAATTTACTCTACTTGGTATGATAGATGCACCAGATGTCTCTAATTTGTCCATGCATAATTCTCTAAAACCAATGATAAGTGAGGATATATCTGCTCTCGTTTGATGTGATATCATGAACATCTCACTGGGTTGAAGTGAATCATCTGCTTTGACTGCTTCCTCCCATTTTACAAACCAATCTAGGACTTTTTGTAAGATATCAAGTCTCTCATCAGATATGTCAATAATTGGTCGTTTGTCTCGAAAAATATCAATAAGTGCACTTGTATGTTTCAGCAGTTGGATGGTGCTCTGAAGATGGGAGGAATCGGACAAGCTTTGACCATAACACTCCATGAGATGAAGCATCTCCTTTCCTAACACGTCTTCGGCCAATTTATTTCTCATTTTGGATTCATTTGTAAGTTCAAAATGTTCGAGTGTTAAACGGTAATGAATTGGGAGAGGATTATTTTTTATGTCCCACATATGTGCATTTAGGAAATGACACCATAGTACATAATTCCCAGAAACTAAAAGTCTTCTTTTACCGTATGTCGAAGATGTGCTCTTTGAAATATTATTTCTTATTTTCTTGATTACATGTGAATAATCCATAATGAAAATAATTTTTGGTGACTTGGGTGAATATATATTTGTTATTTTCATTGTTCTTGATGTTGCAGATTTAAAATCACCTAAAAGAATCCTGGCCAAGTCCCTATTGGTTTGAGCTCCATCAGTGCTGATGTACCTTGTAGTAAATCCAAAAACCTGCAACATATTGACGATTTCCCAGGTAAGGACATATAAGTCTGAAGCAGTGGCTTGTATAGTAGGGAAGTGACATATCGGAAATCGAAAACCACTGAATCCCAAAAAAACAAATTGCAGTACATGTGTTGCTAGTTTTAGTTCGGATTGTCCCGATTTTAAGCAATCAGTCAGAATGGACTCTTCACCTAAGTCAGTGAAACCAGTCATATGCATTTTGTTATCTCGCGAGTAAAATTGTAAGTCTGACTGAATGGCCATCTCATCGAGAATCAGTCCGCCTTCAAGTCCTTCCGGTGGGATGTCTTTACGTATGGCCTCATTTTTCATCCAGTGAAAAATATCTGGATTAATGCCGGCTCTTTGGTGAAATTTGTTCTTGTAAATCTGGAGGAGGCGCTGAGAGGGGAGAACAAGAAAACCACTACTACGCAGGTCATTATAGGCTTGAGGACTTCGACACCACATTGTGAGACAAATCCTAATAATGTTTTTGTTCCACCGTCTCCCTTGCTTTAAATGTAGATTTTTCTGTTGAGATAGCAAAAGTTCTGCCAGTTTTGGAGGGCAGTCTGGAATTACACTCTCTAAAACTTTCAACATATCATCATGATCGTCATTACACAAATGAATATATGCTTCCTTATCTGAGCTACTTTGTGATTCTTCCTCACTTGTTGATTTTTTGTTCTGTACAGGGGATTCATGGCAATATGTGTGTTCTAGTTTGTTATAAGAAAAAAGCTTCTTTTTTGGAGCCTCATTTTCATTTGATGTGAAATTCTGTTTTATAGGGACTTCAGGTTGACTTGAAGAAGTTCTTTTCCTGGAGGTTTTGTGAACTTTTTTGCATTCAGAACATCTGCTGTCAGAACCATTGAACTTGAGAACTCGACCACATTTCATGGACCTATACACAGTTTTGACACAGCAGTCTTCAGTAAGTACTTCCTTTATTACATTCTGCGAATATTTATCTGGAGTCGATAATTCATTCAATCCTTTGCACAATTTAAGTGATTTCACAACTGTGTTAACAAAATCTATTGATTCTTTAGTCAGAGAAAAATTGTTGTTTTCAAGTCCAATATCAACAGGATCAATCCTCTTACCAAATAACAAAATGTCCCATGTCATTGTAGAAGCCATGAACTGAATTTCTACAAGAACAGGATTGTGGTTGATGGACATTTTCAACATGTAACCCATTTTAATGACTTCTTTAGGAACAGCTGTCTTTATAACAAAAAAATCTGATGGGAATTGGTTTGGGATGTCTGGAAATTGTACATTTACTGTCACAGAAGACTTCCAGTATATACCATGGTAAATGTTTTCTTTTTTTGTCCAATCATCTTTGTTTCTTGTTCTTTTTACTTCTACTTCCTTGAATAGTTTTTTAATTTCTTTTCCTAAAGTGACACTATTAACTTCTGCATCCATTTTTTTCACAATTTCAGAAGAAGTCAGGGCATTCTCCTGTGAGACCTCCACATTACTTAAAAGCCTTATAAACAGAAAATAAATAATGTTAAATAGGTAGGGAGTTTAATAATTATGTCAATTTTTTTAATCATCTTTATATCTTTTCGAATGCTCCTAAAGTTATTGATCTAAGAAGTGCTAATATCATTTCTTTTAGGTTTGATTTATGTTTTCATTGCATTCATTTCTTCTGAGAGAGGCAGTTCTGTGTTTAAAGGGGGATAATCCACATTTCCAATGAATATATTTCATGATTTAAAATGTACATATTGTTTATTTAGATACTTCAGGCTGAAAGATTATTTACTGTTAACATGAAATGTCCCCATCACAAATACATAAATATTATTTTGTAGTTTTGTTTCTATTCAGGGATATAACCTATATTTTTAGATTTTTGATGAGAAAAAAAAATCATTATATTAATTACATGTTGTTGGCATTTAATTTGATTTGACAAATTCAAACAAGAATAATGTTTTATGTTAAGAATGGTGTAATTTTAGTCAGCAGTTCTTTCTTCTCTCAAAATCTTTTGTTTTTTCTTTTCTTTTAGCTGGTAGTTGAAGTTTTATTCCATATCAAAGGCTACAGACGCATAATCCCAGACTGTTTCTT